CCTCCTCACAAAAAAAAAAAAAAAAAAAAAGAAGAGAGGAAGATGAGGAGTCAGGCAGATGAACAGCCAAGACACCAGCATTCCAGGCAGAGGGAGCTGCAAATGCGAAGGCCTTGTGGTAGGAAAGAGGTTTGAGGTGTTGCAAGAAATAAAAGGCCCGTATGAGAAGAAGGGACAGGGACAGGTGCGGTGGCTCCTGCCTGTAATCCCAGCACTTTGGGAGGCGAAGGCAGGTGGATCACTTGAGGTCAGGAGTTTGAGACCAGCCTGGCCAACATGGTGAAACCTCGTCTCTACTAAACATACAAAAGTTAGCTGAACGTGGTGGCGTATGCCTGTAAACCCAGCCACGCGGGAGGCTGAGGCAGGATGATCAGTTGAACCTGGGAGGCAGAGGTTGCAGTAAGCCCAGATTGCGCCACTGCATTCCAGCTTGGGCAACAGACTGAAACCCAAAAAAAAAAAAAAAAAAAAAAAAAAGGGACAGGATTTTTAAGCTTTGAGAAGGGAGAGGTCAGATCAGGCAGGCCCTGGCAGCTTATGCTAGGAAGAAGCCTAGATTGTAAGAGCAGGGAAAAGCCCTGGAATAGTGTTAAACAGAGAATACGGTCTGAGTTGCATCAAAAGAAGGTCCTGCTGGCTGAAGAAGAGAGAATGGATTATAAGAGGGCACAGGTGGAAGCAAGGAGACCAGGTGGGGGCCCTCTGTGGTTGTTCACATAAGTTGATGGGGGCAGGGCCAGGGCGGTGAAGGTGCACGCGGTCTCTTTGTCCAGCTCTGTTTCTGCCCCTGCTGTGGTTCTCCCATCTCCTTCCTGGGTCTTTGCCCCCCTTTTTTCTTGAGACTCTTCTCGGGGTCTGTCTGTGTTTTTTTTCTTTAAGTAGGAGTCTTTGTCAGCCAGGCTGGAGTGTAGTGGCATGATCTCAGTTCACTGTAACCTCCACCTCCTGGGTTCAAGTGATTCTCCTGACTCAGCCTCCCAAGTAGCTGGGATTACAGGTGCCCGCCACCACACCTGGCTCATTGTTTTATTTTTAGTAGAGACAGGGTTTCACCATGTTGGCCAGGCTGGTCTCGAACTCCTGACCTCAGGCGAGCCTCCCGAAGTGCTGGGATTACAGGTGTGAGCCACCATGGCTGGCCTGCCCCCTTCTCTTGATTCTCTCCACCTGCCGTTTCCTCTGGGTCTCTATCTTCTTCTCAGGTCTTCCCACCCCAGCCCCTTCTCTGGGTGCCTGTACTTCCTCTGGGTCTCTGATCTGGGTCTTTCATAGATTTTCTTTCTCCTTTCTGTCTTTGTCTCCCTTTCTCCCAATCTCCTTCTGGGACCTCTGTCCCTCCTCCAAATCTGTCTTCCTCAGGGCCTCTGCCCCTCTCACCCTTGGTTTCGGGCCCCTTCGATCCAGGGCTCTGTCCCTATCACCTAGGTTACTGCCTCTCTGAGGTTCCTGCACCCCAGGTCTGTGTCTGAATCTCCCTTGGACTTTGCCTTCAGTGACTGTATGTGTATCTGCCTCTGACTCTCCATCATGTGGCAGCTCGCCTAGTGCCCAAGGCTTTAGGGTTCATCTTCCCCATTTCTCTCATATGAGATGTCCCCCCATAACCCTGTTCCTGGCTGTCCTTTCACATCCCGTCTCCCGGGTCGCCCCTCTCAGCTCGGTGTCCGGGCTGAAGCAGACACTGCTGGCAGAGTCTGGGGCCCTGACCAGCTACAGCCACCGGGTGTTCTCGGCCTGGGATTTCGGCCTCTGCGGGGACGTCCACGTGCGGCTGCGCCAGCGCATCATCTTGTACGAATTACAGGTGCGCTTAGGGGGCGGGGTGTGCAACTGGGTAGGGATCAGAAAGGGCTGGGCTCAGATAATGCAGGGGGCCTAACTCGGCGATGGGGCCTCGGGAGAGACGTTAGGCAGCTCTTTCTCCAAGAAAGTCAGGTCCTGGGGAATGAGAGGGTTGAGAGCAGGCCGCCATAGGGCCCCCCGAGGTCCAAGGATGTAGGAAAAGGATGCGCAAGGGATGGGCTCGGTGGCTTATGATTGTAACCCCAGTACTTCGGGAGACCGAGGCAAGTGAATCATTTGAGTCCAGGAGTTCGAGACTAGCCTGGGCCACATAGGGAGACTCCCACTCTACCCCGTCGCCAAAAAAAAATGTTTTAAGTAAGCACAAGAAGCGGGCGGGGCCTAAGGCAACTTGGTTCAAAGTTAAGTGATGGGAGCGGCCAGCGGCACCTCCTGATGCAGCTGAACTGGATCTTCAGGCCAGGCATAAGCGCTGGGCCTCCTGAGGGCGGAGCCTCTGGTGGGCGGGGCCGACAGGGGCGGGTCTTGGCGTGGTGGGCGGAGCTTTGGGTGCTGAGATTGGCCGCGGAGGGATAGGGGCTTGGATTGCGGGATTCGACCGCAAGGGCGGGGCTCTAAAGGGCCGCAGGTGGAACCCGGCCTACAGAGGTCGTTAGCGGGTGGGGAGACGGCTGCAGCGGTTCACGTGGAGGAGGATCTCTGGAGGCCCAGGCCTGGGGAACCGAGAGGCCCGCGCCTTGGGAAATGGGGTCCAAGCGGGCACCTCTCCTGCCTTCAGGTGGAGCTGGAGGAGACGATGCTGCGTCGCCAGGCTGCGGTGCGGACGCTGGGCCAGCAAGCCAGGGTTTGGTCGGTGCGGGTGCTGCTCAACCTGCTGGTGGTCGCGCTCCTGGGGGCAGCGTTCTATGGCGTCTACTGGGCTACACAGTCCACCGTGGAGCTACAGGTGCGGAGGGTCTTTGAAAAGGAAGTCGGGGGGTCCTGGAAGCTACAATTCCAACGGTGGAGGGAGGGGACTGAAGTCTGGGAAGCCAGATATCTTAGGAAGTAAGGGGGCCGGATGCGGTGGCTCACGCCTGCCATTCCAACACTGCGGGAGGCCGAGGCGGGAGGATCCCGAGGTCAGGAGTTCGAGACCAGCCTGGCCAACATAGTGAAACCCCATCTGTACTAAAAATACAAAAAATTAGCCGGTCGTGGTGGTGTGCGCCTGTAATCTCAGCTACTCAGGAGACTGATGCAGGAGAATTGCTTGAACCTGGGAAGCGGAGGTTGCATTGAGCCGAGATCACGCCATTGCACTCCAGCCTGAGCTACAGAGCGAGGCCCTGTTTAAAGAAAAATCTTGATTCTGAAACTGGGCCTCAGTTTCT